GTCCAATGAGAAAATATCTATGATGGGTAGTAATACAGTGACGTTGTAATTATCGAATCAACGAATGGAACGAACGACTGTCTATTATTTCTCTCTCTCTCTCTCTCTCTCTCTCTCTCTCTCTCTCTCTCTCTCTCTCTCTCCGTCCTAATTTTTTTTGGAGATTTTCCTTTGATTATTCTTTTATTTTTATCATAATTCTTTCTCTCCTTTCTCTCTGTCTTTGATTTTTCGTTCGTTTTTTTGTCCTTTAATTTTTTTATTGTTTTTTTTTCTCTCCTTTAATTTCTAATTATTTCCATCTCTCTCTCTCTTTCTCCCTCTCTGACTCTTCCTTTGGTTCTTCCTTTGTTTCTTTATTTTTTTTATTTTTCATTTTTATTATAATTCTTTCTTTTCTCTCTCTCTCTCTCTCTCTCTCTTTCTCACTCTCTCTCTCTCTCTCTCTCTCTCTCTCTCTCTCTCTCTCTTCGTCCTTTGTACTTATTTCCATACGAATTACTTCCTCTCTCGAGGTTTGGAAATTTCGAAAGGATATCGGAACGCGCTGATCACGTAAAAGCTGTCGCGTTCTCATGGAAAGCTTACGTATTCACGGATACGTTCTTGCAGCATCAGCTTATTTGACCGTCTCTTACTACATACTACGCTACACTCTATGTATGTAGGTAGTTCGACGGTTCCTTTCAATGCCGCGGTGTTATTAACTTTTCCTATGTATGTATATATGTATGGATGTATGTACGTACGTACATATGTATGTATGTATGTATGTATGTATGTATGTATGTATGTATGTATGTATGTATGTATGTATGTATGTATGTATGTATGTATGTATGTATGTATGTATGTATGTATGTATGTATGTATGTATGTATGTATGTATGTATGTATGTATGTATGTATGTATGTATGTATGTATGTATGTATGTATGTATGTATGTATGTATGTATGTATGTATGTATGTATGTATGTATGTATGTATGTATGTATGTATGTATGTATGTATGTATGTATGTATGTATGTATGTGCGTGTGTATGTGTGTGTGTGTGTATGTGTGTGTATGTGTGTGTGTGTATGTATGTATATATGTATGTATGTATGCACTACGTAAAATGGCCAAAGTAATAACCATCGAGAGTTATGGACGTTTAGAAAACGAACAGTATGTTTTTGAAAAATAACCTTAGGGCGATTTTTTTTTCCATTTCTTTTTTACTTTTCTTTTTTTCCTTTTCTTTTTTTTTTTTTTTTTTTTTTTTTATTCCTTTGTTTCATGGGAGCGCAATATGTTTGTAGTGTAAAAATATTCTAATGGGAGCAATATAACGAAATATTCTGTAAAATAATATTAATGTAGAAAATTACTATCGTCATTATTATTATTATTATTATTATTATTATTATTATTATTATTATTATAATTATTATTATTATGGATACAATCAAAATTACACTTGTACTGCATACTTACATATATACATGATCGATCGATCGATCGAATCGACTTTGAGTTCTGCTTAAGAAACTCAACAGTGTATAGACATGAAAAATATTTAATCGCTTAAAGTTTTATATGATATTACAGAAAGTTCGAGAGAATGGACATTCGCTGTACTTGAAAACAGTACATAGAACGTAGCAATGAAGAAACTTTCGAAATAGGGAATCAGATTCAACCTTTGATGGCATCATCGACGGAAGTAATGACACGCTATCAAAAAGCGTTTCAAAAGACGATCCGAACTACATATATATATATATATATATATCGTTTAGATCGATCGGAATTCTTTACCGGAGTTTATTTATTCCATAGAAAAAAGTTTGTAAATGGGAGTTCGATAATAAATATTTCGAATTCGTGATTTTTATAAATAAACACATAATCATACGTTAATCTCGTTAACGTGTAATAAAACACTTTTGATTTTATTTTGTATATATATATAACCTCGTGGAAAATCTTTTCGATAATTCGATGATATTCAATATTATTCAAGATTATTAATAAAGAAGCGAAGAAATATGAGAAGTAAATTTAGTGTATTATAAAAGTATGAAAAAGTAATCTTTCACTCTCTCTCTCTCTCTCTCTCTCTCTCTTATTCTGTCGCTTACGTGATAATTCTATTTTTTTCTCTCTCTCTTACTCTTTCATCTCGTGATAATTCTATCTCTTTTTTCTCACATACACACACACACTGTATATATATAGAGAGACAGAGAAAGAGAACGTGCCGGTAATGTCGTCTTCATCGTACTCACCACGCGTGCTTTCGTCGAATCGTCATGGCAACGTAGCGACATGGAGAAAGCTACTGCGAGGTACCGTGCCGCGCCAGTATGTGGTGTAGAATGCGCGCGCAGCTTCTAGTTCTCCCCACTCCAACCTTTTTTGTCCCCACTACATCGTAAAAGCTAACGCTTCTAAGTAACGTGCTTTTCGAACAGGTCGCGGTGTCAGTCAGTGCACGCGCGGACAACGGAACGTATTTATATTGTTTCCTCGTCATCGTAGATTTTTTTCCTTTCGAACTATTTCAATATTCTATATAATATTTCCATATATATATATACCATATATATATATATATATTATTTTGCGTACACGTTAAATTAGTGATTTCTAGTGTTCTTTCGATCGAATCAAGATATCGTCATCGTCATCATTGTCATCGTCGTCATCATCTACAATTGTTCGACAGCTGAGAACTTCGATTGAAGGATAGAAAGAAGAATGGAACGATTACGTTACTGTTAAATATTCTACAAGGTACATATTTAATTTATATTTTATAATCTCTATGTAATAATAATACGTGATTGATTTGTAATATAAATCAAACGAAACATCGTTACACTTCCGTTTCCTCAGAATAATCTTAAATTTATTTTATCATTTTATTTGCTTATAGCGTAGTAATGGATGTGGTTTCAACTTAAAACCACAGAGAAATAGAGTGAGGGAGGAGGAAGAGAAAAAGGAAAAAGAATTATTCTTAAATATCTTTCTACGTATCTATCTGTGGTTTTAATCGTACATTTTCACGGTCATAAGCTCGTTTAATCGATCGTTCAATTACGTACATAAATATACGTGACCGAACGTAATACTTAAGAAGATGGTATAGACACGTAGATACGTTATTCGTTTTATTAGAAACCGAACGGTTTAGTATGTAATATTATATTAATTGTTATAACGATTTTTTCGCTTTTTTTTTCTTTTTTTTTTTTTCTTTCTTTAGATCGTGTTAACACGTAGGTAATGTTGGCAAAGTTATTGCTTTTTTTTTTTTTTTTTTTTTTATCTTATAGGTTATCCTCGATTGTAATATACATAAATTATAGAGATACAGTTTTAGCTCAGTTGTTACACTTTTCAAGGTTATCTTGGGCCGATGCGAAAGAACAATAACGTGTAACAATAAAGTGAACAACATTCTTTTTCCCTCCGCCTTCCCCTTCCCTTTTTTTTTTTCTCATTTTCTTTTCTCTATCAATCATTCGTCATATTCAACGCGGAATATTTATCGATCGTTAATAATTTCGATTATACTTCCATTCGATCGTTAATAATTTCGATTATACTTCAATTCGATCGTTTAAATTATTATTTATATAAGCTTTATTAAAATTAAATCAAGTTTATTTAATATCTGTACGATTAATAGATATGTATACATAACCTATACGCTTTAGGTCAGATATGCGCGCGTAAACGCGCAAAACAAATACGATAACAATTATCATCGTTAATATGTAATACAACGTAATATCATTCATTCATTCATCGTGGAGAATCGATCAAATGATTAATTCTTTTCCTTTCCTTTTTCCCCCCTTTCTTGTTTTTCATTTTCTTTTCCTTTTTTTTTTTTTTTTTTTTTATTTTTTCTTTTTTTATAAACTTCGATTAAAAATTAGCGTCAATTTAACGTATGGCATTAAAGCCGATTTATTTTTTTCCTTTTTTTCCACTTTCGAATAAACTAATCAATTGCTATCGCGTTGTTAGCCAAACACATAACTATTGTGGTTAATGTAATTGTTGTACTTGCCTCTCATTTTCTATCCGGTTTCCGGCCATTTCAACATTCGATGCGTAACCAATTATCCTGTACGAATAGATCGATGGTTTGTATCTAACACGTGCAAATAGGAAATACACACACAGAAAGAGAGAGAAAGAGAGAGAAAGAGAGAGAGAGAGAAAGAGAAAGAGAGAGAGAGAGAGAGAGAGAATTAGAAAGAGTAAATTTAGTGGTTTTACATGTGGTAACATAACATCGTATCAAATTATTCGTCGTTTATTTTACGCGAGAAAGAAAACTATATAAGGTGTTCGTAGAATTCGAGATGCCATCCATTGGGGCTGGGGGGTTACGAGGGGATGAGAATGGCTGGTGAATATATAAGGATATGAGGGATAGAGGGGATAGAAATAGGGGGTTGTAGTCGATCTAAGGGAAAGAAAGAAAACATGATAGTTGTTTTTCTTATCATTTTATTTTTTCTCCCTTTTTTTTTTCCTCTTTATAATAATAACCACTTGCAATTTCACTTTTTTTTTTTCACGATCGATATACGTAAATATCGAAGGGAATATGATTATCCCAGAAATGTAGATATACGTACTTATATAGAGACATAGAGATAGATACACACACACACACACACACAGAAAGAGACAAACAGACAGAGAGAGAGAGACAGAGAGAGAGAGAGAGAGAGAGAGAGAGACAGAGAGAGAGAGAGAGAGAGAGAGAGAGAGATAGGAAGCCGAAGAAGAAGATGCAGAAGAGGATGCACAAGAGGAAGAGGAACAAGGGTGAGGAGGAGGAAGAAGGAGAAAACGAAGAGGAATCATGTTAGAAACGGCTGAAAAGGTTTATCGATAATTCATTCTCGGACTTACACTCGAACACTCGAACTGATTCGTAGAATTGATTCCGACTTCCTTTATGACGAAGCAGTAGGTACTTCGAATTAGTTCCCCGGTGCTTTTCGTATAATTTACGAGCGTTGAAATATCGTGCAACTCCATTTCGGCGAACGTAATCGTTTGCCGAAGGGTCTTTGCTATTTTATTTGGAATCCGTAGGGATGAATATTTGCGAGAGATTTTCCTAAAACGTTTTTGCCCTCTCCTCTTCCTCTTCCTCCTCCTCCTCCTCCTCCTCTTTTTCTTCCTCTCCCTCCATCTCCTCCAAACTTCTCGTCCTTCTCCCTACGTTACTGGGACGGGGAGAAGGGAGAATACGTAATACGTTTCTTGCGAGTACTACTTCCGGCCGGAATCGAATTTACTCCTCCATGCTATTTTATCAACGTGTATGCATGTATATGAAATTATGTTTTATTCTTGTACATATAATTTCGATGAAAAGATTTTTTATCGAAGATAAGGCAAGGAAAAAGAAGAAAGAAAGAAAGAAAATAAAGATATAATTTTTCTTCTTCCTTTTATCCCACCTTTCGTCTTCTATTTCCATTAGATTTGTCTGCGTACGCGTTTAAACGTACGTTATCTAATATAAATGCGAAATGAAATTGTTTCTCTTAATTTCGTAGAGAATTTTCTTTAAAAAGATTTTCGAATATATGTATAACAAATTTTTTTCAATAACTTTTGTGCATTAACTTGTATCAATATAAATATAAGGTGAAATTGTTTTTTAATTTTCTACAAAATTTCCAAAAAGATATATCCAAAAAAAGATGATATATATAGAATTTTTATTTATTTATTTATTTTGGATATTATTTTTATTCGACTTTCGGGCATATATTTATGCAAACATTAATTACTTTTAACATTTATAAATTTGTCAAAAATAGAAAGAAAGGAAAAAAAGAAAAATTAAAAATTGGAAATAAATTGTAGGAAATATTTCAAATTTTCTAGAATTAATTACTGTTTTGATTTTTTATCGAGTATACGTGCATGCGTATAAAACGTACGTACGTTATATATATATATATATATATATATATATATATATATATATATATATATATATATATATATATTTACGTGTATACGTGCGTATGCATACACATTTTTTTTTTTTTTATTTTATTATAAAGCGGAAGGATACGACAGCAGAAGAAATATAATATATATATATATATATATATATATATATAAATTTTTTTTTGCGAATAAATATTGACAAGTCCGAACAAATATTTTTCTCGTATATGTACACAAATGCATGTATGCATGTATGTATTATATATACTAGTCAGTCAGGTGATACTTAGTTTCGTGTGTCGTTCGACGAAGAGAGAGAGAGAGAGAGAGAGAGAGAGAGATTTACTCAAAAAGGAGGAGCGAGTTTAAAGTACTCGATCGAACGTTTACATAGTTAACTTATTTGCGAGACTATATATGTTTATATAAATATTTTTATATCAATCGATCCTTTCCGATAACATTTCAGATATATCAATTTTTATTTCATTATTATTATCATCTTATTTCATATATTATCATTGCTTAATAGTAATATGTTAATTCGTTAATCGGCAAAGATTTTTTTCTCTTTTCGTAGATATAGATAAACGTGATTCGTATTAAATGGACTTTTTAATTAATCATAAAATTTATTTAGATAATGATAAATTGATAACTTCAATGATAAATTAATTAATAAATCTTAAAAATGAAAAAATCGTTAAGTATCATTTAATAGTATGATAAATAAGTGTAATAATATTTTAAATAATTGCAAATTAGATTTAATTTATTTTTCTTTATTAGAAAATAAATCTAAAGTATTCGTAACGATTTAACTCATTATCTCTTGATTAACACATGCACACACACACACATACACACATATATATATATATATATATATACAGAGTGATCCAATATAATCGACAATAACATCAGAGTTTTTAAATTGATGAATTATTTGTGAATTTGTATATTTGTTTTGTTTTATTTTGTTTTTATTAATTATTAATAAAAATAGATGAAACTATATTTAGCAAGGAATGTTTCGTGAATGACCAACTTTATATTTAATAGAAATGTCAAGAGAGCTTTTTTAAAGTACATCTCTTCGACGATTATTTCACGTCAAGGCATTTCCCCAATGCATTTTTAAGTTGTTTCATTGTAACGTGTTTTGAATAGGAGAATCCTTTGCTCCTTGGACATTATGGAAACAGGCATTGGATTCTTTCAGCATGATCGAGCACCAACACATGGAGCAATATCATCGATCACAGACACTGTAAAGAATTGTTTCCGGGGATTTTGGATAAAGATGTTGTTATGATCTTCAAATACTCTTGATCTCTCGATGTTATGGATTTTTTTGTTTGATCAATTTTTAAGCCAAAAGGAAAAGGAAAAGGAAAAAAAGAAACAAATCTTAAACGTTTCCAATTTCATAACCTTAATTTCATGTCCTTAAATAAAATATAATTTTTTCCATTCGTTTTATTTAATTAATGAGAAAAATTAAGAAAAAAAAAAAAAAAAAAAAAAAAAAAAATAAAAACTTTGTCTTGAAAAATATCGATTAAAAATGTTTAAAAACATTTTTAAATAACTGTTTACACTATTTAATATATTTTCTATAAAATATTATTACATAATATATATATATATATATATATATATATATATATATATATATATATATATACATAATTGAGATCAGTATAAAAAAAAATTATTACGAACAATATTTGTAATAAACTTAAACTCAACTCTCGACATTTAATTATTTATATTAATATATTGTTATAAATATC